CGATTTTCTTCTCTTTCCCTTTCTATGATTTTCTTCTCTTTCCCTTTCTACGATTTTCTTCTCTTTCCCTTTCTATGATTTTCTTCTCTTTCCCTTTCTATAATTTTCTTCTCTTTCCCTTTCTATAATTTTCTTCTCTTTCCCTTTCTATAATTTTCTTCTCTTTCCCTTTCTATGATTTTCTTCTCTTTCCCTTTCTATAATTTTCTTCTCTTTCCCTTTCTATAATTTTCTTCTCTTTCCCTTTCTATGATTTTCTTCTCTTTCCCTTTCTATAATTTTCTTCTCTTTCCCTTTCTACGATTTTTTTTCTTCTTTTTTCCCTTTCTACGATTTTTCGATTTTCTCTTTCCCTTTCTACGATTTTTTTTTCTTTCTACGATTTTCTTCTCTTTCCCTTTCTACGATTTTCTTCTTTCCCTTTCCGATTTTCTTCTCTTTTTTCTACGATTTTCTTTTCTTCCCTTTCTACGATTTTCTTTCTTTCCCTTTCTATAATTTTCTTTCTATAATTTTTTTTTTTTCCCTTTCTATAATTTTTCTTCTCTTTCCTTTCTCTATAATTTTCTTCTCTTTCCCTTTCTACGATTTTTTCTTTCTTTTCCTTTCTTTCCCTTCATATAATTTTTTTTCTTCTCTTTCCCTTTCTACGATTTTCTTTCTATAATTTTTCTTTCTTTCCCTTTCTATAATTTTCTTCTCTTTCCTTTCTATAATTTTTCTTTCTTTCTTTTCTATAATTTTCTTCTCTTTCCCTTTTTCTACGATTTTTTTTCTTTCCCTTTCTATGATTTTTCTTTTCTTTCCTATAATTTTCTTCTCTTTTCTTTCTGATTTTTTTTCTTTCCCTTTTCCTCTTCCCTTTAATTTTTTTTCCCTTTCTATATGATTTTCTTCTCTTTCCCGTTCTATAATTTTCTTCTCTTTCCCTTTCTACGATTTTCTTTCTTTTTTCTATAATTTTCTCTTCCTTTCTATAATCTTTTTTTTCTTCTCTTTTCCTTTCTTTTCTTCTTTTCTTCGATTTTTCTTCTTTCCCTTTCTATGATTTTTTCTCTTTTCCTTTCTATTTTTTTTCTTCCCTTTTCTCTTTCCTTTTCTATGATTTTTCTTCGATTTTTCCCTCGATTTTTTTCTCTTTTCAATTTTTTCTTTCTTTCCCTTTCTACGATTTTCTTTCTTTCCCTTTCTACGATTTTTCTTCTCTTTTCCTTTCTATTTTTTTTTCTTTTCTTCTCTTTTCCTTTCATTTTTTCTTTTCCCTTTTCACATGTTTTTTTAATTTTTTTTCCCTTTCTATTTTTTTTCCTTTCTTTCTACGATTTTTTTCTTTCTATGATTTTTTTTCCCTTTCTATAATTTTCCTTTTCTACGATTTTTTTCCCTTTCTATAATTTTTTTCTTTTTCCTTTCTATATTTTTTTCTTTTCTTTTTACGATTTTTTTTTTCTTCTCTTCCCTTTCTATGATTTTTTTCTTTCCTTTTCCCTTTCCTTTCTATGATTTTCTTTCTTTTTTTTTCTATAATTTTCTTTTCTTTCTTCCTTTCTATAATTTTTTTAATTTTCTTTTTCTTTTTTCTACGATTTTTTTCTTTCCTTTTCTATAATTTTCTATTCTTTCCCTTTCTATGATTTTCTTCTCTTTCCCTTTCTATAATTTTTCTTTCTTTTTTATGATTTTTTCTTTTTTCTTTATAATTTTCTTCTTTTTCTTTCCCTTTCCTTTCTTCCCTTTTCTATGATTTTCTTCTCTTTCCCTTTCTATAATTTTTTTTCTTCTCTTTCCCTTCAATTTTTTTTCTATTTCTTTTTTTCTACTTTTTTTCTTCTCTTTTCCTTTCTAAGGATTTTTTTCTATTTTTTTTCTTTCTAATTTTTTCTCTTTTCCTTTTCTATAATTTTTTTCTCTTTCCCTTTCTATAATTTTTTTTCCTTTTCTATAATTTTTTTTTCCCTTTCTATGATTTCTTCTCTTTCCCTTTCTCTTTCCCGATTTTATTTTTTTCTCTATATTTTCCCTTTCTATGATTTTTTTCTCTTTCCTACGATTTTTTCTATAATTTTTTCTCTTTTTTCCTTTCTATGATTTTTTTAATTTCTTCTTTCCTTTCCCTATAATTTTTTTTCCCTTTCTACGATTTTTTTCTTTTCCCTTTTCTCTTTTCCTTTTCTACGATTTTTTCTTTTTCCTTTCTATAATTTTTTTTTTCTTTTCCTGATTTTTCTTCTCTTTCCCTTTCTATGATTTTCTATATTTTCTCTTTTCTTTCTTTTCCTTTTTCCCTTCCCTTTCTATGATTTTTCTTCTCTTTCCCTTTCTATAATTTTCTTTCTTTTTCCCTTTCTATGATTTTTCTAACTTCCCTTTTTATTTTTCTTTCTTTTCCCTTTCTATGATTTTCTAATTTTCTTCTCTTTCTTTCTATGATTTTTTTTTCTTTCCCTTTCTATAATTTTTTTTTTTTCCCTTTCTATGATTTTCTTCTCTTTCCCTTTTATTTTGATTGTTTCTTTCTATAATTTTTTTCTTTCTTTTCCCTAGTGTTCCTTTCTATAATTTGATTTCTTTCCCTTTCTATAAATTTTCTTCTCTTTCCCTTTCTATAATTTTCTCTTTTCCCTTTCTATGATTTTCTTTCTATAATTTTTCTTCTCTTTCCCTTTCTATAATTTTTCTTGATTTCCCTTTCTATAATTTTTCGATTTTTTTCTCTCCAGTCGCCCCTTTTCTATGATTTTCAAAAACACCAATAATTTTCTACGATTTTCTTGAAACTTTTTTCTCTTTCCCTTTTCCTTTCTATTTTCTTCTCTTTCCCTTTCGATTTTTTATAATTTTTTTTTAGATTTTTTTCTCTTTCCCTTTCTATAATTTTTTCTCTTTCAATGATTTTTTTCTATGATTTTTTCTTCCCTTTTCTATAATTTTCTTTCTCTTTCCCTTTCTAAGATTTTCTTCTCTTTGATTTTTTTCTTTTTCCTTTAATAATTTTCTTCTCTTTCCCTTTTCTCTTCTTTTTCTATAATTTTTTTTTTTTCTATTTTTTTTTTCTTTCCCTTTCTATGATTTTTTTCTTCTTTTTTTTCCTGATTTTTCTTTTTCCCTTTCTATAATTTTTCTTTTCTTTCCCTTTCTATGATTTTTTTCATTCTTTCCTTTCATTTTTTTTTCTTTCCTTTTTTTATTTTTTTCTTTTCTTTTCTACGATTTTTTTCTTTCTATAATTTTTCTTTTTCCCTGATTTTTTTTCTTTCCAGTTTTTTTTTTCTTTCTATAATTTTTTCTCTTTCCCTTTCTATGATTTTTTCTTTCCTTTCCTTTCTATATTCTATTTTCTCTTTCCCTTTCTATGATTTTCTTCTCTTTCCCTTTCTACGATTTTCTTCTCTTTCCCTTTCTATAATTTTTTCTTTTTCCTTTCCATAATTTTCTATCATTTTCTCTTTCTTTACGATCTTTTCTATAATTTTTTCTTTCCTTTTTCTATTTTTTCTCTTCCTTTCTATAATTTTCTTCTTCCCTTTTAATTTTTCTCTTTCCCTTTCTATGATTTTCTTTTCTTTTCCCCTTTCTATGATTTTTCTTTCTTTTTTTTCTCTTTCCTTTCTTGATTTTTTTTACTTTTTTCTATTTTCTTTTTTTTTTTTTTCTATGATTTTTTCTCTTTCCTTTCTATAATTTTCTTCTCTTCCCTTTCTATAGATTTTTCTTCTCTTTCCCTTTCAATTTTCTTCTCTTTCCCTTTTTAATTTTTTCTCTTTCCCTTTTCTATGATTTTTTCTCTTTCCCTTTTTCCTTTTAAGGATTTTCTTTCTTTTCTTTGAACTGTTCTACAATTTTCTTCTCTTTCATTTTTTTCCCTAATTTTCTTCTTTAGTGTTCTATGATTTTCTTTCTCTTTCCCCTTTCTATGATTTTCTTCTCTTTCCCTTTCTACGACATGATTTTCTGTTTTTTCTTTCCAGTTCTATGGATTTTCTAACTTTCTTTTGTTCTACGATTTTGCTTGTTCTATGATTTTCTCCAATTTCCCTTTCTAATTTTTCTACTTCCTATGATTTTCTATGTTTTTTTTCACTTCTTTTCCTGTTTTACGATTTTTTTCCTGTTGTTTTTTTTCTATATCTTTGAAGTTCAAAATGTCTATGGTTTTCCAGTTTTTGATTTTCAAACTGTTCTACGATCTTCTCACTTCTCTTTCCCGTTCTACGATCTTATCATTTCTTTTTCCCGTTCTACGACCTTCTCACTTCTCTTTCCTGTTCTATGATTTTCTAATTTTTTTTCATTTTCTATGGTTTTCAATCTAGATTTTACAAACTTCTTTTCTCGCTTTTATTCTCTCCCTTCTTTCATCTTCTACAATTTTTCACGTTCTTTTTTGAGTTCTTGTTTTTCACTCTTATGAAGTTCCCATTGTCTAGTTTTTCACTTTGTTTTATTCTATGATCTACCCCTTACAATTTAAGTCGTTCACGTTCGGAGTTGTTTGCACAGTTTCTATTGGACTTTGTCATTTGGATTATTTGAGGTTTCTCTATTCACTTATATAATTACAGTCTACATTTGTTATTTTCCTGCAAACTGAATTTTATATAAATGCTTCTTATGACATTCTTCTGGGCTGCAATTAAAATGCTGATTCAACTTCTCTTCCCAGATGTCCTCTTTGCAAGTGAACTTTCCTTTCCATATTTGCTTTTTTTGTTTGGATATTTTTCCTGTTCGTTTATTCGTCTATCAGTTCTATTGCATTTTTGGCTATTGTAATTAAACTTTCATGACTGGCTTGTATAATTCTCAAGTACCTTGGTAACAGTCAACTTAATTTTCATTATGGCCGAGCTTTCTTTCCCAATGTTTTGTTTTTCACATATATTATATCGATATAACTTTTAGTTGTCATTATTATTATTATTATTACAAATTATTTTTTGATAATGTCTAAATCCAGTTATAAGTTCTCTTATACTCATTTTAATCAACCTATTTTCTAGGTTCGTCAGCGCTTTGGTATACTACGGACTCTATATTACATTAAACAGCCTCACTGGAAATAAATTCTTTAACTTTTTCTTAAATGCTCTAATGGAGTTTGCCGCAAACATTTTTTCAATGAAGTTAATGTTCAGGTAAATATTTTTTATGAAAAATGAAATTATCCCCTTAAAAATTCCAACTACCGTAATTATCCATGTATAAGTCGGTTATTTTCCAGATTTTTTAAGCTTAAATTTAAGAGTATTATACACGCGTGCGTATTATACACGAGTTCGTATTATATACGAGTAGTAACGGTAAGTGAGATAAATCTAATCTTCTACAATTAGATTATAATTAATTAGTAAAACGAAGAAAATTCTACGAAAGGCTTTGTTCTGAAATAGCTTTTCACTGTGTAAAAGCAAAATAAAAGTGGCAAGAAAATTTAGACATCGGTATCAGATGTAAAGCGAATTACAAATATCATTGCTAATATCTTGAATTCAATCTGCATTCGATTCCTTTCTATGGCAAAATAATTCAAGTTTTGTAAATATCTACATTTATAGATGTTATTTAAAACATGTTTTCCTAATAATTATTTGATGATGTCGATAATGAGAAAATGTTTAATGAAATAAAGTTAGTTACACTGAATTAATGATAAAAAGATGACATTTAGAAATGTGTTCAGTAATTCTATAAATCTTAAAAACATTTAGTTTAATCTGGCTTAAATCTGCAAAAGTGCGACGCTTAACGAGAATTATATTCCCTCGCAATTATTAATTACCATTCTGAAACAGGGTGCGATATAATAGATAATAAGATTAGTCCATGTTGCACAAGACCAATATCTCGTCCCAATCAAAGGAAGTCTCCGAATCGTATAAAAACAACAAATGAACTGGTCTTACAAGATCCAAATAATAAATCATTACTAAGAATTTTTTAACTTTTTCATATTTGATTTAGTCATTTAGTAAAAGTGTATCATAATCTAATACAAGAAGTAATTTCTCATATCTAATGAACATACAAATTAAAAAAAAAAAGATATATAAAGGAACACCGACATCTTGTGTTTTTTTTTTCAGATGGGGTCGAAAGAAATCCTGCACAATCTTCCAAACAATGTCTGGTCTCAGTATAATAACTGCTGTGATCCTTAAGCATTTCTCAGGTAAAAATATGCATTACTATTAATTACAGATTACTATGGAGGACAGGTATATAATGTTTTAGTCGTCAGTGCTGAATCTATTTTAAATTATATAATATTTAGTTAAAAACTGAAAGAAATACACTAACCACTAATTGTGTGTATGTATGTAATTGAAATTGCCCAATAATAAATAAATTGCCATTTTAATTTTAGATGATGTTAAGGGGTTCACCCCTTTTTCATACAAGTAGACTCGCCCAGTGTGTACTTGTACTGCTGCCGGTGAATACCCGGAAGTCAGAGTGTGACAGTGATACGGTGATACAGTGAGAGAGTGAGAGCGTGAGGTAATCGCTTTGTAGGAATCACCGTTGCGAACACGTAGACTCAGAAGGAAGCCATACTTCGATACTGAATTTCCCAGACTGTATATATATATTATTATTGCTACTAACCGCATTTCTGGATCTACTAACCGTATTACCAATTGTATTATTACGTCAATACATTTATTTGCTATATTTTATTCCTGCGTTTATCATTCATTTGAGACCGGATTTCATCCCGGAATCCACAACACCTCATAAACTCTATTTTTGAAGTAAAATATTGTTCGTACATCCTTAGGAATTTATTGAATCGGTTCAAGTTATTTCCATTAAGAGAATTTTGTAGAGATCGAAATATATGGTAATTCGAAGGGTCAGGGTCAGGTGAGTACAGGTGGGTGCAGTAGGACATCCCAGACTAGTTGTACCAAATTTTGCTGGATCTGCAAAGATATATGAAGTCTGACGTTGTCCCGATGGAAAACAAAATCCTTCTAATTGGCCCCTCCGGAGGCTTTTCATTGATTGCTACTGTCCATTTTGCAACAGTATTTGTCTTGATGGAACTTTTGATTTTGCAAAAGGAGTTCATAATATACAATGCCCTGCCAATCCTACGATATTAGACAACATCAAGTTCTTTGGCTGCAGATCGGTTTTTCGCTTCACACAGGATAGTTGTTTTTGTTCCACACTTTTTTAAAAGAATCCCTTCTTCATCATTAGCGATCGTTCTTTTTAAAAGTCAGTGATCATTTCTGTTGCGTTTTAGCAGATAGTTGCAGATGGAAATACAAGTTATTATTTTTTTCAATTTAATCGTGAGGCACACAAACCTCCAATTATTTTCAAATGCTTTATAACATACATATGAGACATGTAGAGTATCTCTGTATCGGCCCGTTTTGGATGATCTAGATTATTTTTAATCGCTGTTTCAATTTGGTCACTTTCAACAACTGCAGGCTTCTTGGAACGTGCTTGGTTTTTTAGGTTAAAATTACCGCTCCTGAACCGAGCGAACCACTTACGAAGATCGAACTCAGTTATGGCAGAATCTCCATAAGTGGCACTTTTTCTGTCGTTTGTAGAGAGTCTCTTTAATCAAATGACAAAAATGCATTTAATTTTCTTTCATTTTCTTTTAATGTGCAAATATTTAAAATTCACAGTCCACACACGAACAAGACAGAAAGGTGTTGAAATAAATTTTAGTCATCTGTGAAAAAAAAAACCGTGGGTTCAAATAGCACCTATTGAAATGCTACTAACGCTTGTTCCAATCCAATATATCATCATTAACATTGATGTATCTCCTTTGAGTAGTAATTGTCATATTAAATGTTGCAAGCGTTTTGTGTCACAAAATTCTAGTTTCCTGAACAGTTTAAAAATACATACAATATGAAAATTATTCGGTGTTAAAAGAAAATATCTTGGTTATCAATGGCATTATTTTACGTCATTTTATTTTACGTCATTTTATGGCTTTCTTTACTGACAAATATGGGATATATTTATTGTGCGTTTAGATTTATTTAGAACCTCTATAATTAAATATTATTTTTTGTTGATGAATAAAACGTGTGGGTTTCCATAGTTGATAGTATCTCGTAAAAGACAAATAATGAATGTAGTTCAAATTGACTTCATAGCCGCTGAAACCACTTTTGTATTAACATTCTTGTGAAAGATGTCAATCGAACATTTTTATTACCAGTCATTTTGACCGTGACTTTATTGTCATAACTGTAGATAACGATGTAGGGTGAGTTTAATTATGCGCAAGTTTCCAACTATAATCAAATGTACATCTGTGTTTCAATTTAGAGCATCATCGCAGAGAAACAAGTCCTAATGATTATGACTTGAAATCTTTCTTTTACACAAATTGTATTAGGTGATATCCAGAAGTTAGTATATAATTAAACCATAAACGTGTCGTTTATAATGATCTCCACAATATTTGATCATCAAAAGAATCATTTCTTACTCCAACAATCTATTTACTCTTATGCTAAAGCAATTCTACAGAACAATATATGCAAATAAATTTACGAGCTGGTCGTTCTCGTATGAAAATAATATTTGCTTTCAACGTTCTGTACGTTGAGAACTATATTTAAGATATGATCGTTAGTTCAGTGATTAATTTTTCCGTGGTAAGTATGATTGTCAGCTATACAATATTTGAAAGTGAGAATTGAGAGCGTACTTTAGAATATAAGCAATAATCTAGCGAATGTTCTTGGAGAACTGATGCAAAATTTGAGAAAAGTTTAAAATTTGTAATCTTTATTATAAGTGCAAATCAAAAATAGTTATATAATTTTAGTAGTTTTTCACATCAAATGAGTCAAGATCATTTTGTTGCACTAAGGGAGTGACGTGTCGACAACTTGCGTGTCGTGGTGTCATTTTCAGATCTCCATCTCAATTTTATATTACAAGAATGAAACATCAATGAGGTTGGGTAAATTTCATCCGAAAAACCGTAACGGAACGATTATGTTGCATACGTGATATGTTTCAACTTGCAAAATAAATACGAACACAATATGGCGAGAAGACAAGCAGTATTATGCCCCCCAAAATCTTATCAATACAAACAATATTTTCAACGACATGTGTAAAAGTCTCTTAAAAGCTTCGTAAGCAAAAGAAGACTGCATATTGTTTTCTTGAAGATTCTACTTTACTCTATTGCTATTTTTCTTTACTCATTATTGATGTGACAGTTGTTAACGGGGATTGAATTTTTATTCCAATCTAGTAAATATTTACAAAATTTAGCTTAGTACACTTGTTGGGAAAATCAATGAAAATTCAAATTATTACAATATTAACTGATTTGTTTTTAACAGCTTATCAGCCCTTTGCGGGTTATTTAAAACCGAAAAATGTTTCAAAGTGGAAGGCAGTTGCTTGCAGTACCAGGTATTCCCAAGCGGTCCACCGCCTTACTGGCCGTGTTCGAAAGCTACTTCAGTGATGAAACGGGAACCGGTACGATTTGACCGTACGCGTTGTAGTAGTAATGGACTATGAATGTAATTGCCGACTTGGCCATTTTTGTTGCTGTAAAAAAGGAAGAGGGAAAAGAAGTCTTGGAAAAACAGTCGACAAAAATAAATAATATTAGATTCGGAAACCCTTTAACATTTCCTTCTTCAACATCCGTGGCATTCATACCAACTTCTGCAGTGTGAAATCGTTCCTCTTTAAAAAGTCTCCTGATATACTAGCTCTCTGCGAGACTAACCTTAACTCGTAAAATTGGATCCCTGATCCGTCTGTATAATTTTAGGTAAGCCCATTCTCGTGAAAAAAATTATTAAGGCGTCTACTACCTTCTTTGCTGATATGTTCCTCAACGGAATCGCTTCAGGGTATCTAGTTGAAGAGCACATTATGGTTAACAGATATTTGTACGAATTTTTGGTCCTCGGTAAAGGTCCAACGCAATCAACTATAATTCTGTTGAATGGTTCTTCCATGGCTGGTATTGGTTGTAAGGGCGCTTTTGGAATCGCCTGGTTAGGTTTGCCCGCAACTTGGCATGTTTTGCATGTCCGACAAAATGACCTTACATCTCTCCTTATTCCTGGCCAGTAGAAATATTTAGTAACTCTGTCGTGCGTCTTCGCCATGCCCAAATGTCCAGCCCACTGACTGTCATGTGCTATTGATAATATCTCCTTACGATATCTTGTAGGAACTATTATTTGCTCATATCTATCATATTTATCTGTTCCGGCATAAACCTGCGGTTTCCACTGCCTCATTAGGATACCATTTCTGATATAGTAGCGTCCTGACTTGTTTTCTTCTTCTCTACTTCTCCCAACTAGAGAATATAGCTTCTTTATTTCCACATCGGCTTCTTGTTCTTTTCTTAATTCTTCACGGGGTACGGTCAACTTGGGACGTATCTCTATTCGGTCATATTTCTCCACATAGTTCCTTTTATCGATTCTTTTTTATCGTGGGTGATCTCGCCCTTTTGTTTTTTCCTCTCTTCATGGAGCTTTTTTCTCAGCTTGCCTTTGTAACCACGGCCGAAATTTTCCTTTTTCTCGTCTTCCGAGTTATAGTGCCTTCTTTTCATCTGATGCGCTGATATTTTTCGAGGCTCAACATTTATCTGTTTTCTGCCTATATCATTTCCTAACAACAACGAAATTCCCTTCATCGGAAGTGAATCTAGCAGTCCGACTTCTATGTCGCCAACCTTCCACTTAGACTTTAGCCTAATCTTCCATATCTCTGTTTTCATAGGTTTACCCCCTATGCCGATCACCGTCTTTATTTTCCCTGTCCTATATCTCATATTTTCCGGCACATCTCTTCGCCTTGCTAACGACTGGGAGGCCCCTGTGTCTCTTAACACTTTCAGGGTTTTCACCTCCTTTCCGTTCTTGTCAAAAATCTGACCGTTTGCAGTGTATGGCCAATAACTCTTGTCTATCTGTGTCGTGATTGCTGCCCCTTGGGGTTTTGCATTTTCCATCATATCCTTATGACTCCTACAATTTGTAGCGATATGTCCTGGCTTTCCGCATGTATAGCATACTATCTGCGGTGCTCCCCGCTCAGGTAAATATCTGCGTTCTGTTGCGCTTGGATTCTTCATTACCACGCGTCTGTGTTGAATGGCGTATTATGGGTGTACTATTCTTTGAACGAGCT